TGTTATTACGTAAAATACAGAAAAACAGCATTCTTTTCTTGTACATAACCAAACTCTACACATAATACAGTGGGTATGTAATGTATAGTGCCTATCCTGTGTTTTCCTAATCAAGAACTAGGACTCTCCGCTTATTGCGCTTATTAAGCCCAATTTGGGCTGGGCCCGAGGTGGGCTTAATAGCCGGCGACTACTGTATTATGCATGGTTTTCCGACGAGGTCAGCCCACTGGGTTACAGATCAACAATAAAAGAGCACAACGTAGAGCAAAATTGATTAACAGATAAATGTTGTGTTAGGATCAAATTGAAGCAAAATGTGCACCATTCACTTAATAGTTAAGTAAAGAAGTTTGCTTGCCCACATTAATATATGAAAGCGACTAGCATCTTGGCGATTTAGACGTTTATTTTTTCTTGTATATTTTTAGCTGCGAAGAGAATCTAGACGCCCATTTAAACGAGCACAGATGGAGCAATGAGGGAAAGCACTGAAATATGTGCTTTCGCAATATGAAAGCTTTCTAGGGAGTGTTATGCGGAATTTGGCAACGAATAATCTCGGCTTGATAAAACAATAGACAAGTACTGCATGTGTGGAAGACCGAGGAGCTTCGCGATAGGCACCCAAACTGTACTGACAGGTATTGCTGTTTAAGTGCCACCTAACCATTCCACCGTAATGTTTGCATGTGCAGCGGATTTACTTGCTAGAGCAATTAGCACGCGACACACTGCACAGCTACTGCAATAGGTAGATTGCCGGGCATACGCTTGCCTTCGGTAAATTCTGTTTGCCAAGTAAAATATGCGGGTTGGAGGAAAAGTCGTGCGGTTGTCAAAGTCGGGGGGAGGGGGAAGAATAGGGATCAGTAAGCTAAGGATCGTCTAGGGGACCTGGCCGCCGGGAGTGGTAATTAGCTGCGGAGGGGGGGCTGAATTGGTGACTTGCGGCAATGTTATCTACGGCATTTTCATCAAAATTTTCTGTTAAAGTTCAGCGATGATACCCATGTAGCCATTCAGGAAGTCAAGTTAGGCGAACGAAAGTTTTCGATTAATCCATCGTCAGTTAAATACAATAATATGCGGGAGGGTAGAGTTAACAAAAGTTTAAGCAGCCAATCAGTACTAATTAGGGGGAGAGGGGGCAGGGGTATTAAGGGATCAAAAGGGGTCAGATTCTAGTCATACTTAGAGACCAGATAGGGGAAAGGGGGGGAAGGGATCCGACAAGTAGTTCATGTCGTCCCGTCGCCCTTGTCTCGCGTTTTGTTGGGAGGTGTGAGGACGCTAGATGTTATCGTCTCGT